TAATATCTTATTTGAATTTATTAATTCATTAGGTAATTAGTTAATTAATTTGAGTGATGGTCTCACTCTGTCATCCAGGATAGAGTACAATAGCACAATCACTCCCCACTCCAGCCTTTACTTCCTGGCACAGGTCATCCTTTGGCCTCAACTGCCCGAGTAACTGAGCATAGAGGTGCGTGCTACCCCCATGACTAAATTTTTCTTGTTGATTTGTTTAGAGACAAGATTTATAGTAATCATCTGGAAATTTTACTTCTTTTACAATGCCCGTTAATTAAGTAAACAGCCAGCAACCCCTTCAGGTCATCTCCCACTCTGGGAGCTTTTCTGTCCTCCCAGTAAATCCTGTTTTCTTACTTAAAAAAAAATTAAGTAGCACTGGTTTAATAGCATTTAAACATATAAATGCATCTGTCTGTGAATTCAATTATTTTATTAGTTTTAATTGCTTTTATTAGTGAGTTACTTTTCCAAAATTCTCCCTTTCCTAGAGAGAGCTAACTATAAACCCAAACCTCACTTACATGCAATTTATTTATGTACAAACTCCTCACATTTAGCACACAACTCTAAAATTTAAAAAAGGGTCAAGCCCTGGGTCTAATACAAGACTGGATAAACAAATGGCAGTTTATTATACAATAAAAAACTATCCTATATTTAAAAGAAATGAAGCACTGAAAAATTTATCTCTATCAACTACAGTTATTGTGTTGTTTAAATTTTCTATCCCTATTGAAGTCAATATGGGTAAAATATAATTTTCTAGAAAATGTCAATTTGATTCGTATTTCTTAGTTAATTGGTATTGAGATGGGGAAATAGAGGAAATATTTTCTATTCAATTATTAACATCATGCCCCTTCTTTTGCACTTACCCAATTGAAGCTAATTTTTGGGTAGCTTGTTTTATTCTGCTTTTCTTCCCACAAATTAAATGCTAGATGATTAAGAAATAATCAGTTTGGCCACCTGGTATTGGTACGGGATCAGGCATATAGATCAATGGAACAGAATGAAGACTCCAGCAACAAAGCCTCAATTTCTCAACCAACATTTCTTTGACAAAACTTCCAACAACAACCAATGGGGAGAAGAGAACCTTTTCAGTAAATGTTGCTGGGAAAACTGGCTGATCACATGCAGAAGATTGAAACATGACTCCCACCTATCACCACACAGAAAAATTAACTCTAAATTGATCCAAGACATAACATAAAACCTCAAACTATAAGAATCATAGAAAATGCAGGAGACACCCTCATAAAAATTGGAACTGGGAACCAATTTCTGGTCAAATTTCCATATGACCATATCATAAGAAATGAGATAGACAAGTGAGATCTCATCAAGCAAAAGAAAATATCAAGAGGGCAAGAAGAGAGCCCACAGAATGGGAAAAAATATTTGCCAACAGTATATCAGACAAAGGCGTAATATTTAGGATCTACAAGGAACTGAGAGACACTGAAAAGAAAATAAAAGAAACAGTCCCGTTAAAAATGGGCAAAAAACCAGGCTTAGTGGCTCAGCCTGTAATCCCATGCCTTTGGGAGGCTGAGGTGAGTGGATTGCCTGAGCCCGTGGGTTCGAGACCCACCTGGGCAGTGAGACCTCATCTCTACAATAAATCAAAAAATCAGCCGGGCGTGGTAGCACATGCCTGTAATTCCGGCTACTTGGAAGGCTGAGGCGGAAGGATCGCCAGAGCCCAGCAGGTCGAGGCTGTGGTGGCCAGGATTGGCCACTGCACTCCAGTCTGAGTGACAAAGTGAGACTCCAACTCAAAATAAATAAATAAATAATAAAAAAATTAAAATGGACAAAAGACCTGAATAGACACTTTTTAAAAGAAGATATACAGGCAGCCAACAAACACATGAGAAGGTGTTCAGCCTCACTCATCAACAGAGAATTGCAAAAAAATAAATAAACAACCACATTGAAATACCACTTAACCCCAGTGAGAATGTTCATATTTAATAAAACAAACAACAACTGATGCTGGAGAGGATGCGGAGAAAAAGAATGCTTCTATACTGCTGGTGGGAATGAAAACTAGTGCAATCTCTTTGGAAGACAGTGTGGCAATTTCTGTAACAACTAGTAATTGACCTTCCATATGACCCTATTTGGAATATACCTGGAGGAACTCAAGTCATTCTACAAAAAAGATACCTGTACACACATGTTTGTTGCAGCTCTATTCACAATAGCAAAAGCCTGGAACCAACCATGTTGCCCACCAAAGCTGGAATGGATAAAGAAGTGTTGCCTATACACAATGGAATATCATGAAGGCATAGATAAAGACAAACATATGAACTTCACAGCAACTTGGTTGGATTTAGAGTCTGTCATAGTCAGTGATCTATCACAGAAACAAAGAAGAGAGTACCATATGTTCTCACTCATAAGCGAAGCTTGAACAATTATCATTCTTCTATACGAAAGAGATGGGTGGTAGTGGAAAATTGTCAGGGGAGAGGGGTGGATTGGCAGCTGAGGGAAACTGCTAAGGGAGGGAGGGGCACACCTCATCAACAGGGTACCTGCCTAATGAACATTAGTATACCTAACCTTGAATTGTACCCCACATCATTAAAATAAAAAAAAGAATGAAAGAAAGAAAGGAAGAAAGGAAGGAAGGAAGAAAGAAGGAAGGAAGGAAGGAAGGAAGGAAGGAAGGAAAGAAAGAAAGAAAGAAAGAAAGAAAGAAAGAGAAAGAAAGAAAGAAAGAAAGAAAGAAAGAAAGAAAGAAAGAAAGAAAGAAAGAAAGAAAGAAAGAAAGAAAGAGAAAGAGATAAAAGAATAAGTTTGGGACTGGGAGATACTCTCATGGAAGCAGATGATCCAGTGAAATCAATGAGCTTCTGTCTGTCCTTCAAAAAAATGGTCAGATCTCAGTATTTTCTGTTCCTTCCATGGGAGAACCTATCTGTTTCCAGGATAAATGGAAAAAAAAAATCCAAACACTTTAGTGGTCTCTATGGATACACTTATTAGAAACTTCTAATAGACTCTCGGAAGTCAAAAGTTTTTAAAAGCTATTCTCCGCTCCCCAAGCATGAACTGTCATGTCTGTTACATGTGACATGATAATTGCAGTTCTGTGGGGAGGTGAGGTCACAGAATCACAAACCCGTACTTCAGGCTCTGGCTTCCTCCCTCCCTGCACATGCTGTGACCTTCACACTGAGCTTACGGACCTGGTGGCAGGAAGGAGCCTGTGTAACTAATCTGGGTAGGTGTGCATACCTGAAAAATAAACTCATTTGGGGTTGATATTGGTTTAGGGGCAAAGTTTTACAGGAAGAGGGACTAGTTCCTGAGACATGGGCTGAGTGTTGGAGAAAAACTGGCAGCCCAAGTCCATAAACAGATCCATGACTATTTCTAATGTTACTTATTAATAAAATCTTAGTGACGGGCTTCTTGGTGTTTGATTCAAGTGTTATCAAAGTCTGGGTTTTAATGTGCTTCAACATTTTAGTTTCAAAATTCGTCTCTCATTCAACTTTGCACAATACCTCTGAGCAAAAGTCAGAGATGCTTCCAGGAGGAATATAGCTATTTCTGTACAAGCTCTGTGCATTGCCTAAGGAATGTCAAGAAGTTAATTCAATTATGTAATTCACAATAGAGAATATGTGCCCGAATAGGAATTGCTTAAATGTAATAGTTTTTCTGATATCTGGGTATGACATACTTAATGGAGACACTGAATCTGTCTCTACTGAAAGTATCTGTGATCTGTTGTTCCTGGGGGAATATTTTTCATTCCTGAAATTAGGCAATGTCCTTTAGGAAAAAGTTAGCATCATACTAGAGGGTTTATGAAATCAAACAATTAAAGACAATTTAAGAATTTTTGTTCTGAAAGAATAAAGAAACTTAAAAATAAAACCTCATCAGAAAAAGGCAGTTTTAAGAATAACACCATCCTTGTTATATTTTCTCTAATTTAAAAACATTTCAATGTTATTCTTAAGCTCACTTATCATTTTTCTCACCTTTCAATTCATTAAGTGCACATGAGTCTATGTCTTCACTTTTCATTTTGCATGTTTGTGTTTTATTTTAATACTTTCCAATTCAAATATTTACTCATGTTTCAGTTTGCTACTTTACAATAAGAAATATAGAGTCATATAATCTTTGAAGAAGATTAATTTATTTTTTATCCTGAAATACTTTATTGCTATTTATGTTTCATGTTCTCATATTTTAGTGTACAACTTAATTTTATTCATCAATTTCTGTGATGGGTACCATAGTATCTTTAATCCATGTAAAAAACAAAATGATTTTTTTGCCACCTTAATATTTATTTAAAATAAAGTTGGGTCATGTACAATTATTCTGTGTGTCTATAATTTATTAAGATATTTGCCTATGTATTCATAAATTATCTTGCTCTATAGAATAAATACATAGACAAAAATTGGGTAATCATCAAACTAAATTTATAAATAAAAATAAATTTGAACAATGACAAGGTATTTATACCTGTCTGTGTGTGTGTATGTGTGTATTAAAGATCACAACAAGTTAACAGTTATTACATAGCAGAGTAGTGAACACAAATGTTACTGCAACCAAATTACCCAGGTTCAAATCTTTACTTTCCTGTGAGGATTGAGATGAGTCAACTGACCTCCTTGTGATTAAATTCTCCCAGTCTGTCAATAGAGAATAGCATTAATTTTAACCTAACAGAGTTGTTAAATAAAAGAGTTAGAACAGAGTTGTTAAAATAAAATAATAGAATTGGAAAACTTTAATTAATATAACTCATGCATTGTAAGTTCTATCAAAGGAAACAGGTGAGATCTGGGAAATTTCTGAACAGTAAAGTACGTATGTATTAGCTTTTAATTCTCAGAGAGAAGGTATAGTAAGTAGAGATGTTATGTTCTATAGAAATGTAACCAACAACTCATGTTTTCATGCAGAATCCACTTCTTGCTGAATATTGAGTCCTGTAAAAAGACAGAATGGCATCGGTGGATTTGAAAATAGGAATGATCTTCCTATCTCAGGTAGTTGTTGGAATCCTGGGGAACTTTAAACTCTTATATCATTACATGGCCCTATACTTTAGGGGTTGCAGGTCAAGATCCACAGATTTGATTATCAGGCACCTGACTGTAGCCAACTCCTTGGTCATTCTCTCTAGAGGAATTCCAGAGACTATGGGAGCTTTTGGGTTGCGACATTGTGCCACATATTTTGAATGTGAGGTTCTTTTATATGTTCACAGGGTGGCCAGGGGTGTGTCCATTGGTGCCACCTGCCTGCTGAGTGTTTTTCAAATGATCACCATCATTCCTAGGAATTCCAGGAGGTGGGTAAAGCTTAAAGTAAAAGCTCCAAAGTATGTTGGCAGTTCCAGTATCCTGTGCTGGGCCCTGCACATACTGGTAAATATCATTTTTCCTATTTATAAAATTGTCAAATTGGGAAACAAAAATATCACAAACAACAGAGATTTTGGGTATTGTTATCCACTTGGTGACAAAGTCATGAACACAGTGTTTGCAGCATTGACATCTCTCCATGATGTTCTGTGTTTGGGTCTCATGACCTGGGCCAGTAGTTCCATGGTTTTCATCCTGCATAGACACAGGCAGCAAGTCCAACACATTCATAGGACCAATCTCTCCCCCAGATCCTCTACTGAGACTAGAGTCACCCAAAGCATCCTTGCACTGGTGAGCACCTTTGTAGCATTTTACACCCTTTCTTTCTGCATCTATGTTTATTTAGCTCTCTTTGAAGATTCCATTTGGTGGCTGGTTAACACTGCTATAGTAATCACTGCATGTTATCCAACTATTAGTCCTTTTGTTCTCATGTGCCGTGACCCCAGCATATCCAGGCTCGACTGTATCTGCTGCATAAGAAAAATATAATTCTCTTATCTCATCAGAACAATGTGAATTAGCTGTCTAGCATCATATTCAGCCACTGATGCACTGACACATCCAAGAATCTTAAGAACAATTATGAACCCATTTCACTGCAGAGAAAGGGGTGAAGAAGACAGACCAAGACTGGGTCAACATGAAATTGTAAATATTAATAACCACAGTAAATGAAATCTTCTGTAATTATTTCTGTATTTAAACTGCTATATTTTTGTTAATAGTTGCAGTGGAGAAATGCAGATTTCATAAAATAGTCCTGAAATAATGTATAGATAGTAGAACTGTCTTTGAATGTGCAATGTTCAGTCTGAGATATTTAATTTTCCTAAGTATTTGAACTTGGAATTGTATGGACAGCTGCATCAAAGGGTATAGCATGTGGTGGTTGCTGTGGTCTGGATATTTAAAATCTGCAAACCTCATGTTTAAAATAGACCCAAAATTTGGGCATGGGTCTTCATGGGTGTTGTTTGGTTCCTTGAAAAGGATACCTCTGAATGACTTGGTGCTGTCCTTGTAATGAATGAGTACTTGCTTTCTTAATGTCCACCGTTGACAGTTGTTAAAAAGAGCCTAGCAACCACCACTGGCTTCTTCTCTTGCCATGTGATCTCAGCACATGCCAGTTCCTCTTTGTCTTCTGTCAAGAGTAGAAGAAGCCTGTGGCCTTCACCAGATATAGATTTGGTGCTATAATTCTTGTACAGCCTGCAGAATTGTGAGCCAAATAAGCTACCTTTCCTTATAATTACTCGGCCTCCAATACTCCTTTATAGCAATACAAAGAGAAGAAAACAGTGATATTCCAATAAGCTAGGAGCAGGAGTAGTGACCCTGATTTGTAATGCACAGGATCTGGGTGAAACTTGAAAAAGATTAGTTTTTAGTTCTTATAGACTTTGGAGGCTGGATTGTAAATTCTCTGCTTTAGGTCTTAAAATAAGCATTTTACATTTGAATATGATCATTAGCGATGATGAGGTCTCCATATGTTGTTCAGGATTATCTTGAACTTGTGGACTCAAGCAATCATCTCACCTTAGTTTCCCGAAGTTTGACTGGGATTACAGGTGTAAGAGCCACTATGCACAGCCTGAAATATGAAATGTTTTTTTTAGAAAGATTAGCATATTAAAATATTACCAAGTAAACATTTGAATAATGAGCCACGATGGACAACAAAAAGCCTAGGAAGATGTGCCAACTGATTTTTGCAAAGGGTGCAGATAGAAAGCTCAAGTAAAAGGTGATTTGATATTTGGGAAAAATAAATGGATTTTGAAATGTTAAAAAAGTAGATTGTTCTAAATTAAGTCTTGATGGCAGCTATTTTGGCACAAAGGTAGATTCAACATATACTTTTTTATTCCAACTTGAGGAGACAAGTTTATGAAAGAATCTTCAGCTTGGAGCAGTAGATAAGTACCAACTTGGAATTGAAAGACATGAGTCTATTTTGTTTAATGAGGAATTTTACTGACTTTGAAGTCACAGAGAGAACAAAATGGGTATTTACAAAAGAAATAAAGATATAAGCACAAACATAGGAAATATTTCAATATGATCCTCTGTACATCATAATAATATAATAATTTTGAATTTAGAGAATATTTGCAAAGACAACACAGAGAGTTCCAAAATGTGTCACACCCAGTATCCCTGATGTTAAAATTTTGCTATAACATCTTTGTCAAAACTATGACAGCATCACTGTTACATTATATTAACCAAACTCCAGGCTTTATTTGTATTTCACCAGTTTTAACACTGCTTTGTTCTCCTTCAGGATCAATCCAGTATGCCACATTATATTTAGTCATCTCACCCCCCCAAGACTATTCTGCTCTCTTGTCTTCTTTTCTTTTCATGACCTTGATAGATTTGAAAAGTACTGGTTTAGTACTTCTTAGAATGTTCCTGAAGATGAATTTGCTTTTCTTATAGGTTTGGGGTCTTGGGGAATAATATCATATCTCATCATATCATATACTGTCAAAAATTTCATGCACTTGATATGAACAATCAATCTCTGGTGAAGTTAATCTTCATCAGTTAAAGCAGTGTTTGTCAGATTTTTCACTATAATGTTACTATATTTTTTTTCCCATAACTCATTCCTTTGAAAGGGAGTTTAGGTATTTTCTAGGCCTAGCCCACACTCAAGTAAATATATATATTTGTGTGGAAGTTAACAGAAGTTAAGCTCCATCTACTGGAGAGGTAGCCATCCATATATATTATTTGTTATGCTTCTGAAAATAAAAAGAAAGTTTTTTCTATTCTCCTTAATTTATTTGATCACTCAGTTATACATTCTTATCAGTAAGAACTTATTTATATTTATTTTATACTTTGTATTATAATTCCACATTAAGTTATTTATCTTATTTAAATAATTGGTCATTGGGAAATGTGATTATAATTTTAAAATATATCTGATCTGTATCCTGATTTCTGTTAAAGATCTTCCAAATCTCTTGGAACTGCTTGAATGATAAAAATTCCATTGTCATACTAATGAGAGGTTTCATGACAGAGGGTCCAGTGTAGCTTCAGGATGGGTGCTGGTCACCAGAAAGGCCAACCATGTAATTGCAGGTTTGAAAACTGCCCCTACCAGACCTTCAGGGAGGGAGGGATGACTGGACCTCAGTTCAATTGCTTTGCCATTGATTTACTTAATGATATTTAGGTAATTAAACCCCAATAAAAACTGTGCACTCAGCTTGAGGAAGCATTCAGAAGGGGAAAATATATTAATGGACTGAGAAGTTGGTGTACCCTGTATCCTCAGGGACAGAAGCTCCTGTGCTCCTATGTAATTTCCTCACCTCTGTCATAGAACCAGCCACTTCTCTAAGTAGTCTTTTCTTAGACCTTTCATTAGACACACCCAGACCATGACTTATGGATCTCTACATCAGGCTGTTTATTTATAGCCCTTATAACAAAATGATGTGTTACTATTGCACTTTCTTGTGTTCTAGAAGTTAATCTAGCAAATTATTGAACAAGAAGGAATTGTGGGAAGCCCTGAATTTATCTTTAGCATAGCAAAGTGTGATCGGCTTGTAGATGCCTGATGCTTGCAACTAGTATCTGAACTGGGATCGTCTTGTGAAGGACTTTGCTCTGTTAATGGAAAAAATAAGCACTTTTTCAATTATAAAGATGTAGGGTACAATTCAGGGTTAGGTATACAAACATTGATTATGCAGGTACCCTTGTTGATGAGGTATGCCCCTCCCTCCCCAAGAAGTTTCCCTCAACTACCAATCCCACACCTCCTCCCCTGAAAGTTTCCCACAACCAACAATCTCTTTCTTATAATATTATAATATTTATTCAAGGTTCACTTACGAGTGAAAACATATGGTACTCTGTTCTTTCTTTCTGTGATAGAACACTGAGTATGATCAATTCTAAATCCACCCAAGTTGCTGCAAAGTTCATATGTTTGTCCTTCTTTATGGTTGTATCATATTCCATTATGTATATGTACCACATGTTTTTGATCCAGTCCAGCTTCGATGGGCAACATAGTTGGTTTCATGTTTTTGCTATTGTGAATTGAGCTGCACAAACATACATGTGCAGGTATCTTTTTTGTAGAATGACTTAAGTTCCTCCAGATATATTCCCCATAGGGGAATTGCTGGGTCCTTCAGAAACCGCCACACTGTCTTCTACAGAGTTTGACTAGTTTGCATTCCCACTAGCAGAGTAGAAGCTTTCATTTTTCTCCACATCCTCACCAGAATCTGTTGATGTTTATTTGATTAACAATGACTATTCCTACTGGGGTTAGGTGGTATCTGAATGTGGTTTTGATTTGCATTTCACTGATGATGAATGAGGCTGAGCACTTTTTCTTGTATCTGTTGGCTGCACGTATATCTTGTTTTGAGAAGTGTCTATTCATGTCTTTTGCCCACTTTTTAGGGGGGCTCTTTGTGTTTTTTTTTTCCTTTTGGCATGTTTGAGTACCTTTTAGATCCTAGATGTTAGCCATTGTCAGATTATAGTTGGCAAATATTTTTTCCATTCTGTGGACTTTCTTTCTGCTCTCTTGGTGGTTTCTTTTGCTTTGAAGAAGCACGTTAGTTTGATGAGGTCCTATTTGTCTATCTTATTTCTTAAGATATGAGCATTTATGGTTTTGAATAGGAATTTGTTGCAAGTTTCAATTTCCATAAGTGTGTCTACTGCGTTTTCTAAGATTCTTATAGTTTAAGTTTTTATGCTTAGGTCTGTGATCCATTTAGAGTTAATTTTCTGTGTATGGTGATAGGTAGGAGTCCTGTTTCAATCTTCTCCATGTGATCAGCCAGTTTTCCCAGCACCACTTACTGAATAGTTTCTAGTCTCCCCAGTGTTTGTTGTTGGAGATTTTGTCAAAGGTGAATTGGTTGAGAAATTGAGGCTTTGCTTCTGGAACCTCTCTCCTGTTCCATTTGTCTATATGCCTGCTCTTTTGCCAATACCAGGCTATTTTGATTACTATCGACTTTTAGTAAAGTTTGAAGTCTGGAAGTTTGATTCTTCCTGCTTTGCTTCCTTTGCTAAGGATTATTTTGGCTATTCATGATTGGTTTTTTCTCCATATGAATTTATGTATTGTCACTTCCAGATCTGAGAAGAATGATATCAATAACTTAATGGGTATTGCCTTGAATCTGTAGATGGTCTTCAGTGGGATGGACATCTTAACAATGCTGATTCTTCCTATCCATGAGCATAGAATATTTTTCCATTTGTTTGTGTCTTCTTGGATTTCTTTGAGCAGAGTTTTTTGGTTTTCATTGAAAAGGTATTTCACATCTCTGGTTAGAAAGGCACTGAGGTATTTCATTTCTTTGTGAATATCATGAATAGGACTGTGCTTTTAATTTGGAACTCTGTCTGCTTGTTGTTGTAGTATAGGAATGCAACTGTCTTTTGAACTATTATTTTGTACCCTGAGGCTTTGCCAAAGTCCTTTATCA